CTTAAAAGTCAAAGACATGATAGATTCACTGCTGAATTCCACAAATCCTTTGAGCATGTTATATCACCAGTACTCCTCAAACTCTTGAAAGAAATTGAAAATGAAGGAGTGCTCCCAAATTCATTATAGAAGCCAATGTTACCTTGATGCCAGAACTGGATAAAGAACTAACAGAAAAGAGAACTATAGGCCAATCTCCTTAATGAATTTAGATGCAAAAATTCTTAACATGATATAATCAAATGTAGCACAGAATGTAGCACATTATCAAAAAAGATCACACATCATGCTCAACTAGGTTTCATCCCAGAAATGCAAGGTGAGTTCAACATACATAAAACAATAAATGTAACAGCCCATAAACAGGAGCAAAGTAAAAAAATTATGATCATATTAATAGATATAAAAAAGTTTCAAGAAAATCCAACACCTCTGCATGATAAAAAAAAAAAAAATCCTGAGGAAAACAGGTATACAAAGACCACACTTGAATATAGTAAAGGCTATTTATGGAAAACCAATACTGAGAATCATATGAAATAGAAAGATACTAAAAGTAGTATGCCTAAAATCAAAACAAGACAAGGATATCCACTATCACTTCTTCCATTTAACATAGTATTTGAAACAGCCAGAGCAATTAGGCAAGAGAAAGAAAAATGATACCTATAGGAAAAGAAAAACTCCAATTATCATTATTTTCAGATGACATTTTATTCTACATTGAACACCCAAGGAATGCCACTGAAAACTCTTAGAATTAATAACCAACTTCTGCAAAGTAGCATAATAGATCAACACACAAAAATCATTAGTATTTGTGTATACCAACAATGAATGGGATGAGAAAGAAATTATGAAAATAATACCATTCATAGTAGCCTTAAGAAAAATGAAATCTCTAGGAATTAATCTAAGCAAGTAAGTGAAAGGCCTCTACAAAGAAAACTGCTCTAACAAAAGACATTGAAGAGACCATCAGGAAATGAAAAAATGTCCCCTGCTCCTGGATAAGCAGAGCCAATATTGTCAAAATGGCCACACTTTCTAAACTGCTATACAGATTTACTGCAGTTCCAATCAAAACACCAAGAGCATACTCTACAGATGTAGAAGGGATAAAACTCTTAGAAATTCTAGGGAACCAGAAGATACCTAGAACAGCAAAAGTAATTTTGGGCAATAAGAGCAAAGCAGGTAGCATAAAAATACCTGACTTCAAGCTATATACTACAAAGCAATAGTGATAAAAACAACATGGCACTTGAATAAAAATAGATGTGTGGATAATGGAAAAGAGTTGAGGATATAGACACCTCTCCAGACATGTAACTATTTGGTCTTTTATTTTAAAGAGAAAAGAACAAGAACACAATAACAAAAATAAAAACAAAGACAACTATTTGATTTTTTGACAAAGGGGCCAAAAGCCTATGTTGGAGGAAAAACAGCCTGTTCAACAAGCTATGCTGGGACAACTGGATATCTATTTGCAGAAAAATAAAACTTCACCCTTTAACTCATATGCTAAATTAAAATAAAAATGGATCCAAAATCTAAACATTAAAACAGAAACATTGAATGTACTGAAAGGTAAAATAGGTGAAACACTTGAAGATGTTGCGGTAAATGATTTTCTAAACAGAACCTCAATTGCACAGGTAATAGGAGCATGGATCAACAAATGGGATTATTTCAGACTAAAAAGCTTCTGTACAGTGAAAGAACCCGTCAGTAGAATAAAGAGACAACCTACATAATGGGGAAAAAATTCCAAGTTGCTTGTCTTGGTTACTTTTCTTTCATTGCTGGGACAAAATATCCAACTCCTGAAATTAAGGAAGCAAGGTTTATTTTAGTTCAGTTTGGAGATTTCAGTCTTTTCTTGGCTGGCTCCAAAGCAGAGTCTCACATGGCAGAGGGCAACAGTTCATGGTGGCAGAAGACAGCAAAAACAACAAGAGCAAAAAGGGAGGAGTAAACGAGTAAGTCTGTTTCCCTTCCTTATGTTGCATGCAGATGACCCACCCCAGACCCACCCCAAGTCACTATAGCACCCACATCTGTAATCCCAGCATCAGACCATGAACCAATTAGAGCTCTAGAAGTCCACCCCATTGACTGCATGAGGCTTTGGAGGACATCTAGACATAAACCATAACACTACTCATCAGAGAACTAACATCTAGAATATACAAAGAACTCTAACCATCTATAATGAAAGACTCAATGAAAAAATGGGTAAGAGTAGTAGGTAGACCTTTTATAGAGAAAGAAATTCAAATAGTCAACAGCATATAAAAAATGTTTAACACCTCTGGCCATTAGAGAAATTAATTAAAACAACACAAAGATTTCACCTTACTCCAGAATGCAAATTATTAGGAAAGGAAACAGTGACAAATGCTGACATGGCTATGGTGCAAAAGGAATACTCCTGCATTGCTGGTGGGAATGCAGACTAGTACAATCATTATGACGATCAGTATGGATATTTCTCAAAGAACTGAAATTAGAATTCCCATGTGACCCTGCTCTCACTCTGCTAGGTATCTTCCCAGAAGAGCCTAAGTCCTTGTGCTACAGTGATGACACACACATGTACCAATGTTTACAGCAGCACAGTTCACTGTAGCTAAATCCTTGATGCAGCCTGTGTACTCATCAATGGATGGATGCAGTAGATGTGGTATCTATATATAATGGAATACTACTCAGGTAGAAAAGATGGGAAATCTGAGATGTGTAGGAAAATTGATGCACCTGGAAAATAGAAGGTTAAATGAAATGAACCAGACACATAAGCTTAAATACTTTACAGTATCTCTCATTGGAGTGAGGCAAACTAAACCATGTCAGGGCTTAAGGCAAGTCTGGTGATACTGTCTGTGTGGCCTCTCAGCCCTATAAAAAGCACCCCAGAAGTCAGGGGAGAGAAAGCAGGGCCCACAGTGGCCTCTGAAGGACCTCACTGAGTTCTCCTGCTGGGCACTCCACAGCTAGACAGTCTTGTTGGTGGAGACTGTGGTTAAGGAGTTAAGAATTAGGCTGGACTCTGATACAGTCCAAATCTGCCAGGTGTCCTGCATAGGAGCAGTGTCCTGAGAGTGCAGTTCATGGCCTGCCACCTGCTTCTGATGGCCAGGGTCACACAGAAGAATCAGGAGCACTGATTTTTACTTTGGCTGAAACGAACTGGGCTGTGGTGAGAGGTTCTGGCCACAGCATGGATGTGCTCAGCAATATTGACGGGCTGTGAAAGAGCCCAACCTCCATGCAGCCTCAGTGTCATGGAACTCAGCAAGGCCAGGGTCTGGCCCAGTGACGCCTGAACTTGAGCGGAGCACTGGGATGCTCTGAGGTTGGAGGCGTGTTCCTAGAGGACCCTTGGGACCCCATGTGCAAACATCTTCCTGTTTGCATCTTGTCCTCCTCTCAGTGTGCTTACTGAGAGCAGCTGCCAGGTGCCCTCCACAGCACCCCTAGACGCCCTCAGTAGGGCCACCCTCAAGGAGGAATGTGGGAACAGAACTGGGAAAGGGAGGGATGATCCTTTTCTTGGATGACAGAACCAAGATTTTTTGTTATTATGTTGATTATTATTACTGTGAAGAGGAGCTCTAGCACTGGCACAGGAGAACATCTCTGCTTTTATTTTTAGATTTGACTGTTAGCACTGGCTGTGATACTGGTAATTTTGAGCTTCAGGGAATTCAGAGATTTTGGTAGCATGGTGTATCAGGAAAAAGTGGTCTTGAGTACACATTGAGCACACCAAACAACACATTCATGGAAGTCGGTGGGTGCAGTGACTGGGAACACTGGGCTTTTGCAGTGACGGTGGGCAACAGTCTTTCTTGGTTATACTTTTATCAATAATTCTCTCCCCTGAGAGGGAAGATTCTGGTAGGATGGGGTGTAGCTTTGCGGCAGTGCATTGGCCTCACATTGTGAGCCCCTGGACTCAATGACCCCTTTTCCCCTGGTCCCACTACCACCACCACCAAAAGAGGATTATGGCAAAGAATAATTTGGAATAAGTCATGGGACAGAATCAGTGTTAGACTTCAGAGTGACCACTGATCAGCTCTCTCCTGCAATGGCACATCATGAGGTGAATCCTGAGAGTGCATACACATGTCAACCTGTGCCCTGAGGATAAAGCATGTTCTAGGGTATGGGAAATGTTTAAATATTTCTGTTTTCAAAAAAGAGTTACTGTGTATTTTGTTTTCTACTAAAATACATTTAGTTTCAAAAAAGAGGGAAATAATCTTGTCTCCATGTTTATTTATTGTTATCCCATGTCCACCATCCCTTACAAGAACATACTCCTCTGCTCAAGATGCAGGGCGTTTTCTTCCTCACTCACTAACAGATTTCTAATGACCTTAACCAGACCCAATACATAACAGGTGCCAGAAATTTTTTGGAATGATTGTATTTTATAAGGGGTTGTATCTGGTATAAGTAAGAATATTTTATGAGCTTCCCATGATTCTAAATTTAAAAAGGTACCTATCCTAGTCAATCTCTCCCTCCTTTCAATTTTTCACACAACTATGTCTGAGTATTTGGATGTTTCCCCCTTTCATAACTATTCTTACATGTTAAATAAAAGTTAAAGCCTAACTTTTCAAGGCCTTTTAGAATATAAACTTTGGGATCAAATTATCTAGATTCAAATTCAAGTTCATGTATGACCTTGGGGAAGTAGTTCAACCTCTCTGTTTCTCAGTTTCCAGGTTCATAAAATGATGCCTCCCTCATGAACTTGTGGGTTGATCATAAAAACAGGTACACAATGCTCAGAACAGTTTCTACATAGTAATTGCGGTCTACATGTCTGTCATTAGTGTTGGTTGTTTTCTACTGTGTGGGTGACGGGACACAATTGTTAAATCCAAATAATAGGAGAAACTGAAAATTGAATGTGGCAGAGAAAGCTCAGGTGACAGAATTGCAAACAGTGGACAATTGATTCCCGAAATTCAAAACAAAATAATTTATTAATTTTACATTTAGGCATTGGTAATACACATGAAGACTATCTGAAAGTTAAAGTACCTAAATGATTTTATGTTGCGTGTTATAAATTTTATTTTAAAATAGTCCCATAAAACACACTTTGTATTTTAATACTTTAAAATAAAATCCATTATATCAAAATCTTGAGCATTTCAAAGGTCATAAAAATCATGATTCAAGCCAGTAATTTTGTGCTTTGAGATACAGTGAGTAAACACAGCTTCATTTGTCTATGAAAAATTTACTCTGTTCCTTTCTAGCTTTTTCAAGGCTTTCAAAAGTGATCATTCCTTTTGGCAGCTGCAATTTATTCTTCTCTGTTTCCAGTATGTCTTCAGCTTCCCCTTAAAGAACAGAAATATACAAGGTAACAAAGGGGTTTTCCATTGACAAACTGTAACACTGTATGGGGCCACCCCTTCAAATCGCAGTTAAACATTTCACCCATTTTCCTCAGAAGTAATGTACCTTCTGAAAGAAACAAAATGACGAATTTTGAAAATTCCTAGACACATCAGGTACCAGAGATTTATTTTTGACAGAAGACAGAATTTTGAAGTGTAGACAAGAAAGAACTCCAAAGTCAGGATAATCATCATTAATCGAATGTGGAAAGTCTTGGGATGGAGATATTACATACATTCCTATGTATTGCCCCTTAACATAAACTAAGTGACAGGAGAAAAAAGGAAATCTACTAAAAAGTCTAATTTTTCAGGAAAGCTCTTTCATCTGAAATCACTTAAAAATCCAAAATAATATTAAATATGTGTTGGTCTTTATACATATTACACATACACATTTTTATAAACAATTTGTCTTCCAAATAGCTACCAGTAGGAAAGATAGTGATTTCTTGGGCCCAGTGACATTTGCCAACTTTAATTGTGGAACACAAATTAAAAAGTTTTAAAGAATTGTATAAGGCATGTTGTTGATATTTTGTAAACCTGTGCTGGTGATGAAGGCAAATACTTTCTATCAGTACTTCTCTTTTGACACACTTTTACTTATTTATATTGACAATGTATAATTGTATGTATTTATGAAGTACAAATTGATGTTATGTATATATTGTATGTTGATCAAACCAGAGTATTTAGCATACTCATTGCTTTATATATGCATTATTTCTTAGATCCAAATCTAATGGATCAAGTTATAGTTTTTAAATAATAAGAGCATTTTACCATTTCAAAACATTTTTTTAACCTTATCTTAAATAGTAGGTAATAATAATAATAAAATTCTATGTAATTTGGTAGGTCACTGATGAAAGACTAGAGGTTTTCCATGTGAGAGACACAACCAAACAAGGATTGTATATTTTGAGGTTACTCATTGAAGGAAAAAAGAAAATAACCTAAATTTCTTACAGTGATAGGTTTCCAGGTGTATTTTAAACTTATAACTTTTATAGGAAATTCATATATGTCTTGAAATTAAAACGTCTTAGAGCAATGGAACCATAATAAAGTTGCCCAATATGCAGTCCAACTTACTAGAAAAGTAAACTTGCTTTACTTTAGTAATATGTTCAAGGGAAGGTTGTATAGTACAGTTAATATCTCTTAGCTACATATCCAGTTTTATGAAGCATTAAGAATTCTCATCTCTATATAAACATGAGATATGAGCTTGGACTAATGAATTGTTAAGCAGATAAAATAACATGAAACTGAGAAGGATATGGAAATGAGACCTAACATTAATAAATCAACCCTATACATTTATTTACAGCTTAAAATAGGTATGTATTCTGAAAGTTAATCTATACATCACTGTTTTGCAATTCAGAATGTATTTTTACATAACAATAATGCTATAAATCAAATGATAGTCTCATGAAAAAATTTAGTCCCCAACCCAAGCCAAACTTTAATACCAATGATATCAGACCCTAAATGAAATTTTTCCATATTTTCTATGTGAATATACATCTCACTTTCAAGTGGGAACTTTTAGAACCATGTAGTTCTTTTACCTCCTTATGCCTATGAATGAAATGGTCCAGGACTTAATGTCAATACTTGGAAAACAATGTGGAACTCTTCCTTTCCTTTCCTTTCTTTTCCTTTCCTTTCCTTTCTTTCTTTCTTTTTTTTTTTTAAACCTATATCTACTCTGGACTTGATGAGTAGGTTTTTCATTATGATTATCATCTCCTTTTTTACCTGGGAGATTATTTCTGATCTACGTTCCTGTGTAGTTTTGTACACCTGGTTTTGAACTTCTGCAGCTATCATTTCAGAAATTTCAGATGGGCAGCCTCAGTTTTCTTCTACCTCATTGTTCCTTGGACTTGTCCTGGTTGGGTTGGAGGCCTGGAGGTTGGTTCTGCTTCTTTGTCTAGTCATTCTCTATTTTAAAACTTTATTTTTATGTGTGTGTTGATGCCTGTTTATTTCTTATAGTAGGTAGCTTTATCATGAATATTGAAACCTCCCTAGGAAATGTCTGTTCTTTAGGGGGGTCTTCTCTGTGTAGGAGTTTGTTGGTTTTTGTGTCAGTCTCAAGATCCTACATTCCCAATTTATTAAAGATGAGATTTCACCTAGATGACACATGTTTGAACTTTATTCATTTGAAAATGATCAGCATAACTGCTTAGGTAAGTCAGATGACAGTTTTAAATATTCAAGAAAATGTCCTCAACATTTTAGCCATATAATGACTACAGATACAGCCTACTTATAAGCTTAACCTTAAGCATTTTTTCTGTTAGCTTCTTAAATTGAGACTATGAGTGAGGAAATATTCTTAAAGGGCAAGAGTAAACATTTTAGGCCTATGGTATCTTGTATCTATATTTCAGTGACTCAGTTCTGTCATAGTAATGGAGAATTAGCCATAGACAATACATAAATAAGTATGAATGTAATTATTACTATTTTTAAATAGCTAATTAGCCCCTAGGCCATAGTTTGCCAACCTCTGTTCTAGACAATTAACACAAAAAATTAATCTTCAATTTGTGTTTGCAGATTTCCATGGTTTAAATACTCCCAACACAATCATCGGATGTCATGGAACTCAAACTTGTAGCTGTCTTTTATTGTGTCTGTATATTGTATCTGCATTCCTTTCATACAGATATAATTGATACAAATAATCTAATAGTACATATTATGATAAAATAAGAGGCAGATTAATTCTGAGTGCTTTTATCTTTGTTTTAAAATATATTTATTATAACATGAAATTATAAGACCATGTTTTAATTTTTAATAAATGACTGTATTTAACACCCATTCTTTACAAAATTGCTGAAAATTTTAGTCACTTCTTGTGAGCTAGTAAGAGCTTACTCCAGATACCACTATGTGAAAGAACAAAAATATTAGACATTGGAAGCTAGAGAACAGATTTTGTTGGAATCTCCCTAAGTCAAGGATTATAAAGAGAGGATTTGTGAACCAAAAAATGAAGTAGGAAATAGGAATCCTGGTTTATCAAAGACTTACCTTTCATTCTTTGTAGAAAAGTTCCATAGCCCAAATCATACTGGTAGGCAAAAATAAAGCTTAATGGAACAATAGGGACGAAGAAGGCTGGCTTCTTTTGTCTTATTGCTCTGTTTCAAGGATAAAGAAGACCTTGTATCAAGAAAAAAAAATCTCTAAACACATATATCTATACATGGCCACACAAAAAATGTCCTCCATTTCATAAGTTACTTAATTCATTTGAATTTCCTATGGAAGTAACGATTTCTTTACATAATACCTCTCACTACATTCTACATTTCTCAGAGGAAGGCCTGTGACTTGATTATTTTTTTGACTTTAAGGCTCAGATTCCTCATTTTAAAATGGATAAGGTTTTGTTTATACTCTTCAAACTTAAATTAAAAAATAAAATGCATAAGGATTGAAAACCATTATTCAAAAACTATAGGGATAAACCCATAAAGGCCTCCTATCTTTGTGTCCTGTTAATCCTCGTTTTAATTTATAAAGTAGAGAAAAGAACAGAATAAGCCTAATGAACTAATGACAAAATTAGCTACTACCACCCGACTGTACAGAGTTTACCTCCAGTAACTAACTTACAAGGTGTTTATATATACATCATTTGGACCAAAGTCTTATCTTACCCAAATTAGTAATATTATTAAAAACAAAAGGAAGTAAATTAGTTAAGAAAATCTTAAAGGAAATGGCAAACATACCCAGCTGTTAAAGAGATGGCTGCAATGCCAAAAAAGGTTCCAAAATACTTGAGGAATTCTCGAGACCAAGCAATCTGCATAGCCATTTGTCTTTCCCTCATTTCGTTCTGCAACATTAGCTGCCTTTCCAGCTGAGTATAAAACAAAAACAAAGTGTGGTTACTCATCTTTTGAATCTGAACACAGAGTTAACAGTGTGGGTTTGCAGTGGATTTTTAGTTTTCAATAGCTTTGATTCATTTTTTAAAAATCTCATTAAGACATTGGTGAATATCTTTCTGCACAGTTACCTCCATCTGTCACTTTGGCAGTGAAATTTCCTTGTTACATTAGATATTGATACTGAGTTTCTGCTTCAGGTCATGATTGCATGTGATCTCAAGCTTCTATCCATCTGATAGATGTTCAATTTTTTCTGTTCCACATCAGGAAAGATCAGTCTTTAAACAAAGATATATCTCACTAGTTTTATTTTTAACACTTGCATGGAAATCATTTTGTATTCTGAATTCATCCTGTTACAAATGAATATTCATTTGGAGTGTCACTATGATGCTAAAGAGGTGTTTATGACATCAATAGAGATTTTTCTTTGCCATGTTTTCTTTTTGTGCTAAGTCCTTTGCCACTTAGTCAGTGCCTTTCACTGCTTTGGAACAAAAGACAGCTAACATCCTGGAACACAGGAGACTGAATATTTGAATGGGTTTTTAGGAAACATACAGAAAAAAACAGACTACAAATCTTAAGTCCATTGTTTGAAAAGAGTCAGATTCTTGAAAGAGAAAAGTGTTGTATTTATTTTTAAATTCTAAAATCTTGATATTGCTATACAATAGCAAACATAGAATCCTTGATGAAAGACTAACAATGTGACTCCGTTTTCCTATTATGCCTGCTTTCTACTGTGCACAAGAACTGGGAGAGAAGAAAGTGACCTTTGACAGCCTCTGGGGGACTGAAGCACTGGGCAATGTAAAGGGCACTTCAGAAGGCTTATGGACTCACAAACAGGATTTGCAGCCCTGCCTTGCTTATCTGAAGGGACTGCATGGGTCTTTTTTAAACTTTAGGTTCAGAGCTTATTGCAGATATACAACCTTACTGATTTCTACATATGTTGAGGTGATTGCTTCTGTTCTTTCCAGAAGACCAGAGACCCATAATATAAGATTTGCTAAAATTTTTTAAATAAACTGAAATTTGAGAGTATCTTTAGATTTAGAGAAAAGGTATATAGAGTTCCTCAGCTTATGACTATTAACATCAGAACAATCTGGAAAAGAAAGTGAGCAGTGCATTGAAGTTGTTTTTTAATGCCACTTTTTTCCCATAATTTTATTGAGAAACAAATAGCAATGAGACAGTTTCAAACCAAATTGGTAGGACAGATTCAATAATTAACACATTACATACATTCTTCCTAGTGGTTATTTGCTGTACAAGATGCAGACATGATATCCTATTTACAAACACTATTAGAACAAATCCCTCTGTTCATTAAGAGAATGTAACTATATATCTATCCTAACCATTTTGAATACACAGATACAAAATGGACATTCATCTGTATCCCCTTTTTTTGTTAAGTTCCATTATTTGAATATTATAGGTGTGTTAACTCAGCAAAATATTCTAAAAGAGTCCAGTAGCCCATAATAGTATTGAGTCTTCCACTTCACTGGCAATGTCAAAAATTGTTGACCTGAGTCCCCTACAGCTCAACATAACAGCATGGCTTTACTTCTTATTTAATGCCACTTCTTAAAAGTCCATGACTTTTACAAATAATTAAATATAGGGCCGGGAAGATAGCTCAGCAGTCTAAGTGTCTGCCTGGTAAGTGCACAGACCCAGGTTTGATCCCCGGTACCACGTGCCACACTGCCCCGCTGAACTGACCACCAAAACTAGGTGTGATGGCACATGCCTATAATCCCAGCACTGGGGAGGTTGAGATAGGAGGATCACTATGTGCCTGAACTGCATAACAAGATCCTGTACCAAATGAAGATTTTTTTAAATTTTAAAATAATTAAATATAAACAAAATTGTAAGCTCTTCAGCGACTTAAAATCATTGTACATAGTATCTTGCTACATATGTTTAATAATGAATATGATATAGTTAACAGCCACTCTTACTCCAATATAAACATTTACCATAAATGATAACATAGCTATGAACACAATTAAGAATTTTAGCTTAGCAAAACCTTTTTACATTAAGTTACAGATTCCAAAATGTACAGACTTTTCTCAACAAAATCAGAAGATGCCAACAAATGAAACATATGACAGAACATGGGGAAAAAACCCAAAAACTATGAGCTTCTCAACCACTATCTAAAGTTCTTTAAAGGTGTAACAACTAAATAATAACTACAATGATGCAAAAACTATTTACTAAAGTTGTCATAGTTTGGGGGTTTTACAAGGCAAACAATATATTACAGGACACATTTTATAATGACTCATCCAAAGAATTATATACAACAAATGAAATCTATCCACACACTGAACACTAAAGAATCCAGCCGAGGGCCTAGAGCTAATAATGCCTCCTACAAGTCCAGCTGGAGGCCTCGAGAACACATCACAGTCTTGTGCAGGTCTGCTTCATGGATATGTGCTGGAAAGGTCCAAAGGTCAGTGGTGGAAGCTAGGAAGTCTATGCCAGTGGGATGAAGAATCTGTGCTAGCAAGCTGAGGGATCTGAACTGGAAGCGGTGCTTAAGGTAGGCACCAGAGCTCCCCCAAAAGTACCACAGCCACCTTCAACAACAGGGAGGTCCTGAGCTCCTCCAGGGATGAGAAAAGCCGAGTTCCCATCATGAAAGCCAATGCAACAAGTTTCATGCCATTAAGCAGTGTACCATCTTCTCCTCCAGAGCCATTGATGTTCAGGATGAGGACCCAAGCTTCTCCAAAGTTCATCAGGAAAGCCAGCATGATAAGATTCTCCAGCAAAACAGTCCAAGAGAACCAGTAGCTTCCAGCAGCTTCCAGCACCTTCTAACATCTCCAACAACAGTTTCTGCAAACAGCATCTCTAAAAACATCTCAGCAGCTTCTCCTGTTCTGCCTTTCTGCTGCTGGCAACAACCCTCAGGTGGGCCTCCTGCACCCACACCATGCTGGTTTAATTCAACTGGGTGTAATAAGTTGACCACCAATTAGAAATCCACTACAGAGGTAGAAGACAGTTCCAAACTTAAGTGAAAATAAGATATTTTTATTTATTCTAGATTTCCTCATTTGAAAGAATATATATTTCTTAGTTTAATGGTTAATATCTTATTACATCAATCTTTTTTCTTCTGATTTCTTCAAAATTTTATTTTGTCAATCTTAAAAGTGCATAAAGACCATCCTCTATTGTGCAATCCCTAGACTTAACAGTCTTAGAATCAAGATATACTTTTTAAAAAAATCATTCTGAATATTGCTTAATCTTCATTTTTGTTCTAAGATTTATACTGTATCTTTGACTTACAACTTATTTAAAAGACATTGTATGATATCTTCTCCTACTATTAGAAACTTTAAAAAGTATATTTCCATTTT